TGATTTTTGTTCTAGTAAAGAAAGAACAAAACATACAATTAAAAAACAAAGGACCCACTAAAAACATGAACATATAAACAAAAGTACTCATAATTATTTTTACATCCCCCAAAGGTGTACATGTACCCCTGTGTGTGTGTGTGTGTGTGTGTGTGTGTGTGTGTGTGTGCACGTGTGTGTGGTTTATATACGTGTGTGTGTGTGTGTGTGTGTGTGTGTGTGCATTTGTTGATACCAAAGGAGGACTTCAAGTGTTTTGTGTGTGTGTGTTTGTGTATGTGTGTGCCCCTACAGACATATAAATACAAATAACACATGGCAAAGAATAAAAAAAAGTCAAGAAAATACTTATGGACATAGAAAAGAAGAAATTAAGTGTCATAAGTAAATCTGAGAAAAACAGAAACTTTCCCTGAAGATAAACATGTATTCTTAGTGGGCCAAAGGTCCTGATGACATCACTGCTAGCTGGCACACATGCAAACCTCTCGGTTAGTAGTGTTATTACACAACCCTCTGCAGATGTGAATTCTTCCCTACATCCAAGTAAAACACCCACCACCAACATTATCTCCAGCTTTCTCCAGCTACATCAAATACAAAAAGGACCTTCCTCAAGATTAGTGTTCTGACCTCAGTGCCCTTCTCACTTTCAGTGTACTACCTCAACTCATTTGAATTTCCTAAGACGTGAGCACAATCTTTACTCTTCAGAGCACTGAGAAGGTCACCAGCACTCCAGGTGACAGAGGGAACATTGGGCTCTTAGATGTGTTTATGCTTGGCTTTCTTAGAGAAAGAGCAGAAGGAAGGAAGAAGTAGAGGGAGAAGGAAGTCAGGAAAACAAGGAAAAGCACAAAGCACAGAGTCTGAGCACACACCTACCCTTTCCCTGGTACCTTTCACTCAGTCCCTTACATACTTCATTGTCCTGGCTCCTACAGGCAACAATTCTCACATCGAGTTCAAGGTTTTAACTTTGCAGACAAGGGAGCAGAAATCCAAATCCAACTGACTAACTTGTCCACGGTTGCACAGATGCTAATCGGCCAAGCCACAGGAAGTTGAGTGATCTGGCTCTTAGTCGCACATTCTCTCCTGACTCTGTCATAGTCTCCATGGGTTGCATCTAGAGGCTGAAATAGCGGTGTTTTGAAGGGAAAAGGGAGAGCTGCATGGAGAGTGTATATAAAAGAGAAAGTGTGTGTTCCTGTCAAAGACAAGCTTGTTTGAACAGTCTGCCCACTCAGCCAAAGGTGGACAGCAACCATCTGCTCAGGTGAAAAGGGCACTGTTGCTCCACTGCATCCACACAGCATGCTGGACCAGGAATGCGGCATGGCTCTGTGAGGAGGGACAGACACCACACTGCCCTGCAGCCTCACTCCTTTTTAGTCCTGGAAGAGCATGCTCAAATGTGTAGCACAAAAACATTCAGGGTGACTGTAATTCTTAATTTCTTCTACTCTCTTGGCTGTAACCCAGCTGGTTTCATCTATGTCCACATACAATTATGCATTGAAGTGCTTTACTCTTTTATTTCAATGGTGGAGGTTTAATTGACCCTTCACTCACTAGACAACCGCTCTACCGCAGGACCACATATCCAGAGCAATGCACAAAATTTAGATGGGAGTATGTATTAGTTACTTTTCTCATTACTGGGGACTAAACACCTTACAGAAGCAACTTGAGAAGAATTTTTGACTCACAGTTCAAATGTCCTTATGTATCCTGGCTGGTGGCATAGAGTGGCCTCTCAGTTTCTGGAGGCAGGCACTCTCAGTCTGTTCACACCGTAGCCAAGCAAGAAGCAAAGCGCTCAGCCTCCTGCATAAACCTCTCAAGTAAGAGAAATCCAAGTGTGTGCCACAGTTTCTTCCCCGACTTCTCACCAAGGCCACAGGCAACACAAAGTAAGGAATACCTAGGAAACATAATCTACTTGATAAAATGGAGTGATGCTAGGACACTCACCCCAAACATTCTACAACCTCCCAAAACAGTGCCACCAACTGGGGGCCAAGTGCTCAAACATGCAATTTTGTGGGGGCTATAACAGAAGAAGCAGATGCATTTGTACATTCCCTAGTTATAAATGTCTCTGAGCAACTGTGTACCTTGACTGATGCCGCCTAAGTAAACAGACACCTAACCACACTGCCAAGAGGCCTATAAAACCCCTTCTAGTCCCAGATTGAGTTCTGTGGCCCCCAGGACGCCAGCGATATGCTCACTTTGACTATGCTGGAAATTTGAATGTTCATATGGCTAGTTCATAAAAATGAAGAGATACTTATTTTATAGTCTCAGGAATAAAAGACCAATACTTTACTAGTTTTGCAGTATGCGTGAACTAGGGAAGATATTTTATAACACAACTTTTAAATATTGGTCACTCTTGAAATAACAAATGACATCATACTCACCACAGTTTGGCTATTCAGAAAGAAAAGTTTACTTTAAAGGGAATTATTCTCTTTGACAGTGGTGACTGATACTTGACTCTGCTCAAGTCCAGGGTTAATCATGCTTTGTTTCCTTCCAGATATTGTTGTCTATGCTAATACAATTAAGAAGTCACTAAATCAGTAAACAATGCATCCTGAAAACCAGGAGAAAATCAAGTTCCACTTCTTAAATCATTGTTAAAATTATGGCTTAATTGTTTTCAAAAGTTTATCTTTTTTCTATACCTCACATTTGCCATTGGTGAAATGTTTTGACTTTAAGTGGCTATAGCACTAATTATATAAAATTTACATTTATTTTAATTAGAAATTCATGTTATAATGACTGGAAGCAGTAGCAGCACTACTACAGCATACTACCTATTACTACAAGATTTATTTTTTATGGTGCTGGGGGTTGAACTCAGGACCTTGTACAGGCTAATTAAGAGCCACTCCATCAAGCTAAGTACCCACTTCTATCAAACTAGCTTGAAATTAGACCTATGACTATATCAAAATGCTTAATATTAAATCACCCCTCAAATTGTGGGGATCAGATGAAATCCTGAATGTGTATATTTGACATGAGCACAGCCATATCAAGGATTCCAAGGCCTCAGACCCATCGGAATGGCAAGGCCTTCCCTGTAGTCAGGCTCTGCAGAATAGCAAGGCTTCCCCTGGTCAAAGTATGTATACAGCTGGCCTTTATCTAAAACCAGTACATGTAGGAAGTCCAGACCACAGCTTCCTCATCCCAGATGACTTCCGCCCCAGACTGCTCCCCTCCAGAAACCCCCTACTGCTGAGTTTCCAGACTGCGTTGCTGTTTCTCCATCTGACTCCATGGCCCATTCCATCCCAGCTGGATGTTTCTTCATTTCTGGCATTTCTTCATTCCCTGTTGCCCCAGTCAGATCAACCACATGACTATATCAAAATGATTAATACTAAATTGTACCCCAGTGGTTAAATAAAGGCCCAAAATTATGTTGCAGAAGTACTGGATGAAACAACAACAAAAAAAATCAGAAAAACTTTCCAACCTAAAAATTACAACCATTTATATCTCTGAGCACAGTACTTTTCTTGATTCCAAATAAAAAGTTAGAAACAGTTACTTGAGTACCCAACAACTTTGGAACTATCAATAGGCTGAGGACTGCATTTAATTCCTTCATCCTATACTTTGAACACTGGGGATGCTGACAATCTACACCACCACCAATAGATACAGCCAATAAACAATAGGCCTACAAAGTCAAGAGTCATCAGGAAATAAACTTTCCAGTCTTCTTAAAAAAATAAGGAAGCAAATGTTAGGGGCTAACACTTAAGTATTTATGTGTCAGACATTAGTTTTCACCCATATCTGAAACCACAACAAATTGCAATTGTGTTATTTATTGTTTTCTCATTAACCCAAAGACTCCACAGCAATAGGGACTCATTGCAAATTCATGACCTAGTATGAACAACCCAAATCAGGCACTCAATTATTATTTGCAGAATAAATCAGGTTACAAATAATTCAAATATTTTAGCTGTTGGCCATTACCTCTAAAAATGCAGAATAGGAAAAAGTGCGTCACAACCAATAGAATAAAGTCTTTAGTGAATTTATTACTTTCTATGCCCCACTTTACTGTATGCCCATCTCACCTTCCTTCCTTTCCACACGCCAGACAAGCATCTAATAATGAGTCACATTCCCAGCCTCTAACATGCATGTCTTGCTATGGATGAACGCCTCTTTTAAGATCTGAAAATCCTCTGCTTTATGTTCACTATTTATTTTCTTCTTCATTTGTTCCCCACAAAAATCAATGTGTGGTTGACACTACAACTTCAATATAACAAGGACTCAAGTTTCCAG